TGAGGGTCTGGGCGCGGGGAGCAGACGCGACAGCCGCGGCCCCCGGGAGCTTGGAGGGGCTCTCCGGGCCCTGCCCGCGTCCCCCGCCCCGGGCAGGTTTCCCCGCGCAGCGAGGGGCCAAGCCCACCTTGATGTGCGGGTGCTTCGCGCAGGTGGTGCCCCAGACGCGGGCACAGCGCTCCTCCTTCCTGTGCTGGAAGTACTCGGGGCTCTTCAGGACCGCCACCCGCCGCCCCGCGTAGCTGAGCGCCAGCGCCTCGCAGCCCTCCAGCCGCTCCTTGTCCTCGGTCGAGATGGGCAGCACGATGGGGATGCTCAGGTTGACAACGCCGTCTGGGAAGAGAGGGGCAGGGTTGTAACGTCCCCCAGCAAACAGGGGTTTTCAGAGGCACGTGTTCTCCCTTCGGAGAGCCAAATCTTCCCGGACTACCCCAGGGATTCATCCTCAGTCATGCACATTTACTCACTGCCCCATTTTTCTGCACTGCTGATAAATAGCGATGTTAGTGGAATACGAAAGCTCCTTAGCTTTGGGCCAGAGATGTCTCCAAGATGCTGGGAGTGCTTTGTGGCTTCCCGCCATCTCTGTCTCCCTGGAAAGACTGGCCCTTCCCCACTTGGCTTGTCGTACAGCCTCACTGAGAAACTTAAACGCATGTGTTGACCGCAGCCCTGGACACAACCCCCGCCTCCCCCGCCAGGAGAACAGCCTCCGTTACCACGGCTCTGGCTTGGTGCTCCCGGGGCATCTCGCCCCCTGCACAGCTCCTGAACCAACGCTTCCCACAGGGAAAACACCGCCGCGCTTTGCTCTGTGCCTTTGGGGATCTGCTGGCTGCTTCTATCCTGTTTCCTCCTCCTCTCTCATTTTTAGTCTGTTTTCTGCGTGCGTACAGCGAGTCTACATTTGCACGTGTAGTTTCTAAGGGCAGTGCTGTCCCCGAATACCTCGAAGCCATTGCGGTTTTACGCCCGCTCCCCCAGTTTCCCGGCTCTCCGCCAAGGTCCCCTCATTTCTCCTTGGACAGCGCGGCGTTAACACAGAGGAATCAGCCTCTCCCGTGGGCTCCCATTCGCAAACAAGAACCAACAAATCACCGGTTCGATTTCTTCTGATCTGACCAAAATCATTTTGGACCCTTGAGGGTCTTAATTTGAGGATTTTGACTTGGGTGTAGATTTTTTCTTTTAAATCTTAATTAAAACATTTGCATTTACTTTTAATTCCTGACAAGGTATCATTCGACTGCCAGGCAGCAATTTTCAAGCACCTTCATGAACAATCGTAACTACAGCCACACGGGGGCCAATCGATACCAACCTCACACATTTAGATTACATTAACCAGCGATCAGGCGATACAGTCAGCGTGGAAAAAGCTGAATTATGAAACCAACAAGTGATGCTGAGGCTGAGGATCTCCACGCTCCATTTCCAAATGCAAGAAGCAGAGTTTAAAAATAAAAAAATTTAAAAAAATCACTCCAGCAAAGGTAATTTCAAAATTAAAGAACTGGGATTT